CTGCCGACTCGAGTCGAGATAAATTACGCTCGGCCAACACACGTGAAGCCAATTGCTGTGCTAGGTTTATGATTCCAGCTATATATAGTCTGCAATAAATAAACATAAAATCGTAATAGCTAGAGGGACTCAGACCCACTTAATTTGTGTTCAAGTCTAATTTAAAAAGATTTATGTTTTGTTCAATTAAGCGAATGTTTGAACTTACTTTAATGTTGGTTTTCAGTTACATTTTGAACTGTGTTTAGTTCTGTCATTTGAAACAATTGCTTAATTAAGCAAATACTGCAACTTTGCTGCAGGCCGTCTGCTTGTCTGTTTGATTTTGAACTATTATCAGCTATCATGTTTTATATTTGTGGTTAACAACGCAAAATTTGTTGAGGCCAACGAATGGTTTTATTACTTGGAGATGCTGTAATTGATATCAAAAAATCAGCAAAAGAAAACGACAATTAATGGCAGACCTCTACGTGCATGTTATTTATCACAAAATAATTAAAGCCTTAGCAAACCGCTCTGCAATATGGCCAACACTTAACCTCAGCCTTGTCCCTGACTTTGTATATTGAATAATTCAATAACAATTTACAATCAATTAAAAGCGGCTGGCAAAGATTAAAAATCTCAGACGTTGGCCAAGTTTATTATGTGTGCCTGAACTCAATTTAGCGTTACTCATGGTCCATTAATTCACCATTTTCATGGTTAGGTGCAATAAAGTGCAAAAAAGAGCGAGAATCGAGCGAAACACCAAAACCAAAAGTCGACGCCGTCAAGGACCCAGAAAAAGGGTCACTTCCAGTCGAGAGGAGGGACCAAATAGCAGTCCGCCAACTGTCTGGACCCCTCTCAACGACCAATTACAACTAAACAGCTTTAATTTAATTTGAGCCACCCAGCCTACCCGGCCAACTCCCTCTGCCTAACCTCTACCTCCTCCTTTCCGTCATCCCCCCGCTGACCCGATCCCTCCTCCTTTTGACCAAGAACAATGGCGCGGATGTAATGTTCGCATTATGCTCGTTCACAAATTGTAAGCAGCCATTATGTTTCTTCGTGTTGCCCATGTTTCCTCTACCTCCACGGAGAGCCCTCTTTCCCCTAGAGCCGTTAGCATTGTAATGCCTTTTGGTCCTGGGAACAGGAGCATGGGGCAGGGGCACAGGACAGGGGCAGGGCCATGGACCCCGCCCCAAAACATCGCCGTGTTCTCCATTGTTCCAAACCGGTCTGGTCCCTGGTTTTCACCCGCCTAGTGGGCTCAGGTTCTCGTATGTCAAAATAATGGCGGCAACGGGCAGTCATTGTTATTGTCCTGGTTGTTTTACCTGGCAAAGGATGGCGGCCACATCGTCATCATTATCATCTGAAAACCCCAATGGCGATTGCACGCCCAAAAATGCTGCAACTCTGGCTTTGAGTGTGTCCAAATGAATTCACTGGAGCGTTTTTGAAACAGTTCTCACTTTTTGTTTTGAACTTTAAAGTTGAATGTTAAAGCAGTGAGAAAAGTATATAGTGAAAGAGAAACCGAAAGTAGAAGATAAAAAAAAGATTTCAAACATTTTCAACGTTTGAGTTGAGTTGCCTCTTCAATTTTCTTCACATACGATAGATTTTGTAATAAAGCATTCAGAAATGATGATGGCCACAAGACAAGACACACAAGATGCCCGTCAGTTAGGGCCAAGAAAACCTTCAACCTGTGGTCAAGAGCAACAAGTTTGTAGTGGAATGGGTTGATGGCTTTGGAAATGGGAAGTTTAAGGAAAATTTTCGAGTCTTGCGGTTTTATTTACTGTCATTGCGGGACATTTCGTTTTTGAGGTCGGAGAAATAAAACATTTAATTACTGGCACGATATGGTTGGTCAGCAATTAGTTGATCAATTTGTTGCCTGCTACGCCTTAAAGCCAGGCACTTTGTCTTTAAGTAATTGACTGCGGAAACGGATGGGCGAGGATGTGGATTATGAAATCATCAGCAAATTAAGCAGCCCAATGAACTGTTCTGTTCGATTGAAATCACAGGCCAACCACAAGGAACACATTCAATGTATGATTATCGTTATTGTTCTAACTTAGTTAACTCTAAAACAGTTTAAACATCAGTTTCCGTATTTTTCTTTAAATATTTAGAAGAAACCTGCTGTTTTGCTTAAATGGAAATTTGAACTTTATAAACTGACGATATGACTTCAAAATAAACTTTAAGAGCTTCCGTGTCCATTCGATGGACAATATTAATTTGTCAGATTCAAGAGTGGGCCAGTTGAGTTTTTGCCTGTCCTGCTTTTATTTGCCTGCCATTTGCAAATGCCATTTTTCGCAATTCAATTTATCCAACCGATGCGCGACTTTTCAATCCGCCAAATCAAACACACTCCGATGGCCATAAATTCAGCCGCTGCAGAGACCGCGTAATTTCTGCGCTTTATTTATGCATCAATGGCGTGATTTATTTGCAAACACTCTGGCCCAGACCACAAACATCACTTCAAGTGTTCATTGTTGTCTACACTTGTCTTGTTTGCCTATCCATACGTCTCTCTATCTATATATATATATATATTCATATATGTGATTTCTGCTCTCTGTGGTTGGGTAAAAAATAACTATAATTCATTGCAAATAAAGCAAGAAAAACACAATTATTTATCACGGAGCAGTCAGACATCCGAATGATGGCCACAGGCTCACAGCCACCCACCGCCCTTCACCTTCTATTTCCTCATACCCCCCCTTCACACTCCCACAGACAAAGAAATCCAACCAAACAAATGTCAGTCAGCCCACAGACAAAAAAATGAGGAGAAGACTGTGCCGCGCCTACAAAAGCGGCTCAAAGTTTGGGGCGACAACAAAAACACAAATCTTCTCGGCATTTTTTCCCCAATTTTTGGGTGCACTGAAAAGTATTTCTAATGGTAAAATATTTTTAAAACGTGGAACACAAAAAGGTTTAAATTAAGTGTTTTTGAGTGGCAACTGAGATGGGCCGAACAACAAATTTGTTTTAGGAGGAAATCAATTAGCAAAGAAGCTATTACTTTAAGATTTATTATTACAACCAATTTTCCCAAGTGTAAAAGGCTCAGTCTTTTTGGGCGCGGTGACTGACAGCGTGGGCCCAAAAACTCAGGGTGCGGGTCCGGAGTTCCGAGTCCGAAGCCCGGAGTCCTCAGACCGTAGTCCTCTGTCCGGAGTGTGAGTCCGGGCGACATATTTTGTGCTAAATCTTCTTGTTCACACTAACGCGCTGCTGACAGTTTTTCTTTCTTCATTTTGGTGTTTCAGTATTGTGTTTTTTTTTCAGCTGCGCCTCTTTTGTTTGTGGTTGTTGTTGGTTTTTCACAGATTTTCAAGTGTGACAGTCAGTCTGTCAGTCAGTCAGTGAGTCGGTCTGCAGTGTGAAATATCTCGCTAAATGGCCAAAACAAACACCCACATCAAGGCGATGGTTATATCATGGCCAGCACTTCCCCTCGTTTTGCTCAGCTTTGTGACTGGAAATGATGGTTTTTTACCTGGCTTGGTTAAAAGAACTTGATAAGAAATATGAGTCAAACTATTTTTCTTAGATTTAGGAGTAAGTGTAAATGGTGTCAATTACTCATATTTTCTATTAAGTTCCAGTAAAAACAAAATTAGTCATTAATTTGACATGAGTTGCGTATTTTTACAAACAATCGTTTTAAAAAATTATCATGATTACAAATTTTGCCATAGATATATTTCTGTTGTTGATTAGCAATCATTAAAACAGAATTAGCAACATTAAACCCCGTTTAAACAATTTGTTGACACGACTTAATAAAGATCCAATTTAATAGGGCTTATTAACTTGATTACCTAAGTAATATATTAACTAAGTTTATGGGAAAACGAATTATATTCATATATACTCGTATGGTACTCAAAATACTAGGTACAATAGCTGTTTGATGTGGCAACTCTGAAGATCGCTTAGACGGGTTTTGGTCTTGGCTTAAAAACTGGTTTTCCATCTGAATGGAAGCTGGGACTTCACATCGTTGGCTTTTGTTGTTGGTGGTGTTAATTTGGCAGTTTTTCAAGCGCCGAGCTGACATTGACCCACTTTCTGTCTGTCGACTGGGGCTCATCGTCTTGACCACTTTACCGCCTCATTTGAGTGTACGGCTGTGTGCGTTCATCAGATGTTGAGTGCTAATTGCGGTCAGTAACATTTCGCGGCCATTCACACAGCACTCAAACTCAAACAATGGCGAACGCAACTGCTTAATACATCTCGCGGAAACTGCATTTGCATTTCGTTAGTGGGTACATATGTATGTACGTTCCCCCTCCTGAAATCCCAATCCTAATTCCAATATCCCATTGCCCACACAGTCCAACATTTGCATATTCGATTTTGGATTTCGGTCATCGCGGGTTCGCGTGTGGGGAGCTGCATTTGATTTTTTCTTCAATGTGTACCCACACACGCTGCTTTCCATCATTGGCCGCTGGAGTCTAATGAGCTTAGCTCGGAAAAGCCAAACACGAAATTTACATATGCTGGCATTACACAAATCATATTCTCAGCGCTTAATTAGAAAATGAAAACCTTTGGTTGAGAAAAATAAAAATTTTACTCTTTTACGATAAGCTGTCAGGGGTCACGTAGACCAGCTGTTGGTTTTGCAAGATTAGTTTGAATTTTTAAAAATCTACCAGTATGTTTATGTTTTCCTTAAAAAATGATGTGAATTATATTTCGGTATATTAAGGAAGATGGTAATTTCGACTTCTTTAAGGTCTGACTTCATTGTGGAGCAACCTTAACTAAGATTTTATTAGTTTTTAAATACTTTCTTTACCATAATCTGAAACTTTAATACCATTTCTCTTGTTGCATATATGGAATAATACAAACAAGAGAGAGTTCCTAACATGTGTATAACCATTTAGGCCACCCAAACTGAATGCAACTGAGACCCAGCCCATATATCTTAATCCATCCGGATAGGCACTCACATGGATCCCTTGGGTACTGTCATGTTCAGGCCGTCGAGGACAACGTTGGGATTCTTGCTGCTGCCATACATTTTGTGGGCCCGCCGCACACAAACCGCCTGCTGGCGGCGCGTCGCCAATGTCGAGGGCTGTGAGATGAAGAGACGCCGACGTGCCGCCAAATCCAGATCGCTGTTGGCCGTCGTCGCCGTCGCAGCTGGCGCCGTTGGCGGTATTCCGTCGGCAGCGGCGTCCATTTCGCGGCAGTCCTGCAAATAGACCATAAATCGATATTAGTCTTGGTCCTAACAGTGACAGGACTTGGAATAAGTAAAACTAAAATTGGCACAGCTCTTGGTCGCTGGAGTTGCTGTAGCTCCCTTTTGGAGTTGCTGCCACAGATGTTGCTGCTACTGCTGCTGATGCTGCTGTTAGTGTTGCTGTTGTGCATTGACAAGGAAAGTGAATATCGATAGTGATATCGTGATAGTGAGCACGACATGACCCACGCAACACCATAAGCACACGCTGAAAATAACGTTGGATGTGATATTTGAAAGGCAACTTGGTTTTCTCAACCACTTCCGTTAAATTTTGAAAATAAAATTTTTTACTTTTTAATAGTTTATTTACAATTTTTCCTCTATCAAATACATTTTGTGAATGTAAGATTGGTTTCATCTTAAATAGAGTATATATCTATTCCTTATCCAAACTCTTGTTTATGAATGCAGCCATAGCTTTTGCCCATGCCTGTCACTTTATCCCAGCCAAGTTGCAACATTTGTCGCTATTGGTGCCTCTGTTGTTGCTGGCTATTTTAGCTAGTGTCGTTGCTGCAGTTGTTTCACAGTTGATTAAACCAATTTTTGTATATCGTCAAGCCAGAATGGAGCACAGTAGAAGGTTTAGCCTCGTGATGGATATTGCTGTCATGTAGATTCGACCCCTGAACCCTTGCACTATTTTTCGTGCGGATAGTGGATTCTGCTGGTGGCTGGTTGCTGGCCATTGCCCATTTTTGGCTCGAACGAAATCAAATTTTGAAAATGGCTCCGCTTGTCGCCAGGGACCCCGATATTCCCCGATAACCAGTGCCCAGTGTCCAGGATCCACCATTTGCCATCCTTTTCGTACTGGCTGAGTGTAGTGGCATTTGCCAGTTAACGACAATTTGGCCAAGTGCTTTGGTAGTTGCTTTTTATTTTCATTTTCATTCGAAATTGACATTTTGCTAATCGAAAATGCAGCAAACAATTTGCCAGCTTGGGTAAAACTTTTGCAATTATTTTGCACAGCTCAACGGAAAAAACAATGGGGTGGTGAATGGGCCAAAAAAAGAGAATGAAAATAACAAAAATACTAAAGAAACCGAAACGAAATCCAAAGCCCGATGCCATTTATTGATTTACTTCTCACTAACAATAGGTAGGGCCAGGGCAAATAAATAAAAATAAAAACAAAAATAAAAATAAGCATAACAACAACAACAGCAAAAAGAACGGCCAAGTAACGGAAACAACAACTGACGGGATGTGGTTGAGTTGGCCTGGCTTTCGGTTCTACTCAGTTGTATTTCTGTTCGTTTCGTTTCGGTTTGGTTTGGTTTCGTTTGGCTTAGTTTTGGCTTTTTTGGCCAGCTCCGACTGCAAGAAATAAACTTTCTTGATAAATGACTTCAATGTAATTAATTTCTGCTCAGCTCTCGCTTGCAGCCAAAAAATGGTAGGACGAGCCAGACAATTCCCCTATACGATGGTATACTTTGTGGGCTCTGGTGAGTTTTGTGTTCCCAGTACTCTGTAGTCTGTTCTGTGGCAACCGACTCATGAGCTATATGCTGTCACTGCTAATGTTAGTGGGTTTGCCCTCCGGCATTTCAATTAAGAAATATTGTTTAAACATGTAAGTAGCCAGTTGGGTAGGAGCAATCATCCTTTGATGCTCGTACTGCTCTACTGATGATGATGATGATGCAACTTTAGTGCTAAGCTGATTATAACTGCAAGTGGATACAGTACGGGAGCCACAGCTGTGGAACTTATTGCTCATCCGCCCTGTGGTTCGGTCAAACCGCTCACCGACTTCAATGTTAATTAACTTGTTTTTAATCCAATTAATATGCAGAGCACAAGACCAATGACCAAAGGGACTTTGAATGAATCTTGGCCTCTAATTAAAACTTTTCCTCCATCCCAACAGAATTTAATCAAAGAAATGTAAAACCAAGAACACACACACTTAACTACCGCTCACTCCTCATACATTGTAATACAGTCTTGCGGCAAAAATAATAGTTAATAATAAGGAAGGCAAAATCAAGATTTTGTAGGTAGATTTGAGCAAAATGTACTAGACTGTGTAATTAACTAAGCAATGCCAAGCAATGCATTAAATGCCATATAATGAAGTTGAATTTAATGACTTCATAAAATACAAATTTATCTGAAAACTGAAAACTCCTAGCTGCACGTGTGTCCTTTTTAGATCTCTCATTTTAACCTCTGCTGTAAAAGCGGAGATTGCCTGGAAGTTACAAACAAACAATAAAACTTTGCTGCAGTCATTTTTCAAGGCACGAAAAGAAAGGTGTTAGTGGCAAAGTCCCAAACCAGTTACGACTATCCTTTAATGTAATAAAGGATGCAGGACCAAGCGAATGTGAATGGCGGGCAGAAAAGGGAAACTGTTTTGCGGCCGGGCGAATCTTTAAACTTGGCCTTGTTCTTGGGCGTATGTATCTCCCAGATACGTGTGCCTGCACAGATTTGTATCCGCATTCTGGAAATCTTTATGGGCTTTTTTCTTCGAAGAGTTGGCAGGCAGACGGAAATAAATAAAATCACACATAGCACCGGGGATAAGCCGGGGATACGAGGGCATGGGGAACAGGTGCGCACATGCATGAAAGGTAAAATATGTTTATATAAATAAAGGACCGATCCGGTAACCCCTCCAACCTCCAACCTCGGCGGAAAAGAACCCAAACAAAGTTTGAAGTTCGGCAACATAAAGAAGTGCAAATTGTTGCGTGTTGCGATTGTATCTATCGAATGTGAGCACACGAAAGCTATTTCCTGCCAACAAATATAAACGCCGCAATAAAAAGGAACAACGGCCACGATTCCACGACGACGACTTCAATGGCAATAGCTACGCCCATAAAGCAGGCGCGACAATGAGTCGAGGGGATGCCAAAAAAAAAAACTTTTTGGCCAAAACAAACAACAACAACAATACAGAACATAACAGGGGAAAAAGTTGTAAACTGAAATGATTATCTGGTGCCTGACACTTGTCTAGCCATAGATACACGTATCTCTCTATACAGGGATTTGTTTTTAGGCAGGTAAATAACCGAAATGCTTAACCCCCACGGAATGCGAGTCACATCTTTACCGGGCATTTGCTTTACTGCGTTTTTATTTAAGCTCACAATGTGCCATGCGAATTTACGGTCTCGATCTTTGTTGCTTTTATGGGCTGTGTTTAGAGTTAACTAAGCACTTAGTTACGGATTCGTTCTGGATTTAGTACTAAGTAGCGGATATGATAGGGTACCAGAAAATATTAAAAGCCATACATTTTATGAAAAAAGGAAACCAAATCAATCTACGTCTTAAAAATTATGCAACACTCCCATCTACTTGAGTGATTCAGTTGATTGCTGGGCCTGAGCTTCCGGCACATTAAGTGTGTGCTTTGCCACGAGGTTGAGGCCATCGAGAAATGGGTCAATGACAGACCCCAGATCTTCACGTAGTCATTTGCATATATATATATATATATATATATATATATATATATATACGTAAATATATATGCAAAGCGATGGGACAACTCTTTGTAGACTAATAAATATTTATGTTTATTTTTAGTTTTGCACATGCACAGGGTGAAAAAAAAGGAATTTCCACAAAATTTTACGCTCAATAAATTTGCAGAACAAAAATTTCGCCGGTCAGCGTCGAAAAATGCGCTCATGTGTTAGTAATGGCCACACACACATACACACTTTTGCGGAGGAGTTAAACAATTTCCCAAATAGTTGGCAAATAATTCGTTTACAGCCCGTTCCACCATTTTCTGGTGAGCTGCAAATGTGCAAATAATTTGGCGCAAGTCAAAGGCGGATTCTTCTCCTTCTTTAGGCCAACTGGACTGTAGGCCATAAACCGTTTAGCATAATTTCTCTTGGCCAAATTGTGTATACGCCTCGTGTACTCAGCCGCAGAGGAGGAAAATTGCATTGGCAAACAGGCTTAAATGGCTAATAACAAATTGTTAGCATTTAAATTTCATTTTCACATAATTTCCAAGCTCCTAAAAATTGAAAGGCTGCCGCACAACTTAATCAGTGGCACAGACACACCACACACTCACTTCACTTCAACTCACTCGAGACAGACTGGTGCACACATGCTGTATGGAATATTTGTTTGCAGGTTTAAATTTCGGATCCTGCCAGCCAGGCGGCAACAAAATATAATTCAGAAATCCAACAAACAATTTCCTGGGTGTAACCGCAAAATGTTCGAGCTTGTTGAAATGGCCAGAAATGTTCATAGATCGTTTGTTATGCCCGTTGGTTTGGTTTTGCCGATGTTGTTACTACATACGAGTATACAACGCCAGCGATTTGGCTGTGGGCCTTCTGCTAAGCGCTTTTGTATTTAATGAAGCCTATTTTTCTTACCGAACATGAACCGCAATTATTACGAGTCATTAGTTGCCTGTTTTTCCTGACGGAAGAGTGTGTTCTAACCAAAGGTTTAAGCTGGCTCTTCCTCTACAGGCAGTAATATGTGACAGGAGGAAGAAGAAAAACTAATAAATTAAACAAATATTAAGTAAAATCGATAAATTGACGAATATATTATTTGATTGTAAGTTTTACAATGTAAAATTAATAAAGATTAAAATGTCTCTCCACATGTTTTTCGAAAATAACCTTAATATAATTTAACTTTTTTTGGTAAGTTAGAACAATAAATCATTTTATCGATTGAATGACTTCTTAGTTTTAAGACCAATTAAAAAGCACCCTACCCTATTTCGAATAGCATACATTTGTGAGTTTTCAGCTGTTGCATAAGACATGAGGCGAACTCCTGCCCACTCAACCCATTTTTTGGCCCAATTAAGCTGTCACAATGCCCGGTAAAACGCCGTAACCGGCCCAGTCATGAACGATTTGCCAGTCTCGTATTTTTGCAGCCACCGTATTGCCATATAGCATAACAAGAGCCATGCGATGGGTATTCGCAAT